AATAGCTTTTTGTTGGATTTGTATATATCCTTTTGATTGTTTTAGAAAGCTATGATGTTATTCGGGTTTTGTTTAAGTTGAGGCTGCGTCCTTTGAGTGAAAGGATGGCTGTGTTATGATCCCGTTTTGGTTGTGTTCGGGGTGTGACATTTGTTGGTATCAGAGCGTAGGTTATGATTTTTGGGTGGGACATTGTGAGATTGTGTGATAGACTTTAATGCGTTAGTTTTAGATACTAAGGTGTATTCTTGATTCTGGATTTAGGTAATTATGAGTTCCGACTCGGAGCCGCTCATCTCTTTTCATAAGAATAATAAGGGAAAGAGAGCCATTACCTTCGACTTGAGAGATGTGCCTTGAGGTCCGAGAGTAAGGTCTTCGACAAGAAGGCGAGATGACGTAGGAGCAGACTCGCAAGAAATAAAAGGGGAAAGTCAACAGCCAAGGGCCCAAGACGTTGTAGTTGAAGCTGGTGAACCTGGGAATGGCAGAGGCTACACCTTTGCCCAGTTTAGAAAGTCAAAGCCACCCACTTATGATGGGAAAACTGATCCTCTTGCAGCTGAGCGATGGATTATGAAGATAGAGGGAATATTCAGAGTTGAAGAAGTTCCGAATGATAAGAAGGTGGACTTTGCCACCCAGTATTTGGAAGGTGAAACTGAGTATTGGTGGGAAGGAAAGAGGTCCACTCTTGGAGATGAAGATGCTACTATTTCTTGGAAGTACTTCAAGGAAGCGTTCAACGCCTAGTTCTTTCCAAAATCCTTCCAAGCAAGGATGAAGGGCGATTTTCTGCATATATCGCAAGGTGATTCTTCTGTTTTAGACTATGCGGGTCGCTTCAATCAGATGAGCAGGTTTGCGGGGCATTTTATGGCAAATGAGAAGGAGAAAGTTGAACATTTTTTGAGAGGACTTCAACGTGAGATTCGTTTTACACTCGCATCTCTTTTACTCACCACTTATGAGGATGTCCTGGAGCAAGCAATTAAGATTGAACAAGAGATCATGGAGAGTGGCACCCAGGGTATTCCTCAGCCCAAGAGGCCGAAGTTCACTAATTTCCAAGAGATCCGTATTCGTGACAGCAACAAACAAAGAAGCACTAGTAGGTTTGAAAGGGTGAAGAGTCAAACTGTTCAGGGTGCTTGCGTTACTTGTGGGAAATATCATAGTGGCCAATGCTATTGGAAGCGGGGAACTTGTTTTCTATGTGGGAAGATGGGATACATGCGGCAAAATTGTCCAATGCAGAGAGATACTCCAGCAGGTAGTAAATTATGCTTCGTATGTGGACAGCCTAGTCATATAGCTTGCTTTTGTTCCATGAGGAAGGATGTTTCCTCAATTGGTAGGCCCTAGGAGAATCAGCCAAAACAGAGGGCGATAGGGAAGGTTTATGCGATGACGGAAGAGGATGTGGCAGCGTCTAACATAGTAGTTGCCAGTAATATCTCAATTACCTCGCAATATGCTTTTGCATTGTTTGACCCTGGTGCTACGCATTCTTTCATTTCTACTGAATTCGCAAAGAAATTTGTTATGCTACCTGATCCTCTTGAATATGAATTGCGTATTGAGACCCCTACGGGTGACTTCGTTATTGTGGATCGTGTATTTAAGAGATGTATGCTTCTGGTCGATAATGTTCAAATGCCTGGAGATTTGATGTTGTTGAATATTTGAGATTTTGATGTTATTTTATGGATGGATTGGCTATCAACATATCATTCTACTGTTGATTGTCATTCAAAGAAAGTTACCTTTCGACTCCCAAATGAGCCCGAATTCTCTTTTTCGGGAAGTTGTAAGGGTACTTTTCCAAGATTAATATCGGCAGCGCAAGCGAGGAAGCTTCTAAGGAAAGGTGGTTATGGATATCTAGCTTGCGTAAAAGACACCAGTAAAGAAGTTGTGAAGCTGGAAAATGTTCCAGTTGTTAGAGAATTTCCTGATGTGTTTCCTGAGGATTTGCCCGGCTTGCCACCTGATAAAGAGATTGAGTGCTCTATTGATCTGATGCCTGGTACAGGACCTATCTCGAAGGCACCATCTGAATTGAAAGAATTGAAAACACAGCTGCAGGAATTATTGGATAAGAGCTTTATTAGGCCCAGTGCCTCGCCTTGGTTAGCTCCAGTCCTATTTGTGAAAAAGAAGGATGGTAGCATGCGGCTTTGTATAGATTACTACGAACTCAATAAGGTAACGATCAAGAATAAATATCCTTTACCACGGATTGATGATTTGTTTGATCAACTTCAGGGAGCTCGGGTATTTTCTAAGATCGACCTTCGTTCTGGATATCATCAATTGAAGATTAAAGCAGATGATGTATTTAAAACTACTTTCAGAACGAGGTATGGGCATTACGAATTTCTTGTCATGCCTTTTGGATTGACAAATGCGCCTGCTGCTTTTATGGATTTGATGAACATGGTATTCAGACATTACCTCGACCAATTCATTGTGGTGTTCATTGATGATATCCCGGTTTACTCGAGGAGTTTGGAGGAGCACGAACAACACTTGAAGCGTGTCTTGCAGACCTTGCGTGAGAAGAAATTGTTTGCTAAATTCAGTAAGTGTGCTTTCTGGCTTGATCATATTGAGCTCTTGGGTCATGTTATCTCGAAGAATGGCATCGCAGTTGACCCAAAGAAAGTTGAAGCGGTTGTTCAGTGGAATCGCCCTACCAATGTAACAGAAGTGAAAAGTTTTCTTGGGCTAGCTGGCTATTACTAGAGATATGTGGAGGGATTCTCCAAAATAGCTGGTCCACTTACTCGCCTAACTCAAAAGGGAGTTAAGTTTGTATGGTCTGATCAGTGTGAGCGCAGTTTTCAAGAATTAAAAAGGCGGTTAGTGACGGCTCCCGTATTAACCTTACCTTCAGGAACCAGTGGCTTCACAATTTATTGTGACGCATCTAAAGAAGGTTTAGGGTGCGTTCTTATGCAGGACGATAAAGTGGTGGCCTATGCTTCTACACAGTTGAAGACACATGAAAAGAACTACCCTACTCATGATCTTGAATTGGCAGCAGTTGTATTTGCTTTGAAAATATGGCGACACTACTTGTATGGTGAGAAATGTGAGGTCTTTACTGATCACAAGAGTTTGAAGTACATCTTTACTCAGAAAGAATTGAACATGAGGTAGAGGAGATGGTTAGAACTCTTGAAGGATTATGACTTATCCATCAATTATCACCCAGGTAAGGCAAATGTAGTAGCGGATGCCTTAAGTCGTAAATTTTCTGGAAACATGGCAATGTTGCTCACTTCTTAGCAGCCTATCCTTGAGGATATGAGAAAGCTAGATTTGGAGGTGTTGGTGCATCAATTGGGTGCTCAGATAGCTAATCTTCGAGTACAATCGACATTGATTGACAAAATTAAGGCTAAACAGAATGATGATTCTCAGTTGGGAAAGATTAGACAAGGCGTAGAAGCTAGGAGACAGTTGGATTTTAGTATTCATGTAGATGGGTCATTGAGGTTTCGTGGTCGGCTATGTGTTCTTGATGATCCTGAGTTGAAAAAGGAAATATTGCAGGAAGCTCACAACACTAAATACTCGATTCATCCAGGAAGTACTAAGATGTATAGAGATTTGAGAGGACATTTCTGGTGGGTCAACATGAAGAAAGACATTGTAAAGTTTGTCGATCAATGCCTGGTTTGTCAGCAAGTAAAGATTGAACATTAGAAACCAGGTGGACAACTACATCCACTTGAGATACCTAAGTGGAAATGGGAGCATATCACCATGGACTTCATCGTCGGTTTACCGAGAACGCCAAGCTGTAAGAATGCTATATGGGTGATTGTCGACCGGTTGACTAAATCGGCACACTTTTTGTCGTATCGATTTAGCCTTTCACTTGAAGACATGGCTAAGCGGTACGTCAATGAGATAGTGAGACTTCATGGGGTTCCAGTGCGCATAGTTTCTGATCGAGATCCTAGGTTTGTATCCAACTTCTGGAAGAGCTTACAAGGGGCGTCGGATACTAAACTCAACTTCAGTACGGCTTTTCATCCACAGACAGACGAGCAATCGGAGAGGACGATTCAGACGTTAGAGGATATGCTACGATCCTGTGTTATTAACTTTGGTGGTTCATGGGATGACCATCTTTACTTGGCAGAATTCTCCTATAATAACAGCTACCATTCCAGTATTAAGATGGCACCTTTTGAAGCACTGTATGGTAAAAAATGCAGAAGTCCGGTTTGTTGGGACGATGTTGGTGAGAAGAGGTTGACTGGCCCTGAGTTTATACAACAATCAGAAGAAAAAGTCAGGTTCATTCGAGAGCGACTGAAAACAGCTCAAAGCCGTCAGAAAAGCTATGCAGACCTTAAAAGGCACAAGATAGAATTTGATGTAGGAGATCACGTGTTCCTAAAGGTTTCACCTGTGAAGGGTGTTATGAGATTTGGCACTCGCGGGAAACTAAGTCTAAGATATGTGGGATCATTCTTGATATTGGAGAAGATTGGTGAAGTTGCTTTTAAACTGGCTTTGTCACCAGCGTTATCAGAGTTCATAATGTGTTCCATGTATCTTTATTGCGAAAATATGTGCCAAATCCTGAACACGTATTGGATTTCCCTCCTTTGAGGTTAAGAGAAAACCTGACATATGAAGAACAGCCTATTCGCATTGTGGATAAGAAGGAGCAAATGCTGCGGCGACGCACAATCCCTTATGTGAAAATTCAATGGCAAAATCATACTGAGAGAGAGGCCACATGGGAGCTTGAGGAGGAAGCAAGAAACAAATACCCTCATTTGTTTGAAAGTTAAGGTACGGCTAAATTTCGAGGACGAAATTTTTTAAGGAGGGTAGAATGTAACATTTGCCTCTTCTTTTGACCAGGTCAGAAGACTTAGGCTGAAGGAGGATAAAAAAAAAAGTCAAAAAGTGAAGATAAAAGGAAGAAAGCAGCGGCTGGTCGCGGGAGAACAGAAGAAAAACATAGGAAAAGAAAAGGAAAAAGGAGAGGAGAAAGGGGAGAAGTGAAAGGGAGGGTTTGTGCGCGTGGGTCCTCGCCGAGCCATTCCGACTACGTAACGCAACGACTAGTAAGTACTCGCAACCCTCGTTAGTCCTATCGGAGTAATTTTTCGATTAGAGCTCGGAAATAAGAGTTATGTGGATTTGAGCTGCGTAGTCCAAGTTTTTGGGTTGTCAAGTCTTAAATATCCATGAAAATGAAAGATTATGGTGTTGTGGGGCTGTGCATTTTGATGGATATCGATTTGGAGTTACGGTTTGTCCGGAATCAAATTTTCAAGTTGAGAGCATAATATGGAATTTCGTGAACAGTACTTCCAGGGCTTTTATTGTCATTTTTGGGCTGTTGTTTGGGTTGGCTGTGTTGGGACATCCATAGTATGCTAGATGAGTTTCGTTTTGACTATAAGAGCGTGCAAAACGGAGTCCGGTGGAGGAAGTTATGGTGCGTGGAAATTTGGCGCGCGAGTTGTTCGTTGTGGTTGGCATTAGATTTTTTTTCCTTTGAGCAAGCCGTCGTGGGCACGTGGGTGTCGGATTTTTGTCTAGTTAGCCTTAGCTTATTCGAATCGCGCGTTAGGGGGAAGTATTACTCAGTTTTGATTTGTTTTCCGTATGTTTGATAGGATTTTGGAACCGTCGGCTCGAGTAACACATATGGGTTAGTTTTTGGATTACCAGGTGAGGGACATTATATCTTCTATGAATTTACAAATTCATATTTTGATAATGAGATATAATTTTTAATACAGTGGAGCATGTTTTCTGCATAAATTGGATCGATCATTTACTACCTTTTGTCAATTGTGAAATGAGTTGAAAAGTCTTATGACGTTATTGAAATGAAGCTTTTGTGAATGCTTATATTAAAGGTTTTGTGAAGAGGAATAGCCGAGGGCTATTCTTGTTGCGAAATGTTTTGTGAAATGGATTTATTAGTGTTGATTATGGATTTCTGTATTGAGTTATAAGTTGCTGCTACTCGTATTTCCTATGTTGAGAACCCGTTGAGGGGGGAGTATGCATACTGTCAGAATATCCTTCTGGACCGAACCGCCGGCTTATAATAGGTGGTAGACCTTGCCAAGAGGGGTAAACTTGGTCGCCTTTGTCACAGCGTTAAACTTGACCATAGTTTGATGACGAGCATGAGATTGGTTGATGGATGAACCATCAACGTGTTATGTGATGAGATTAGTCAATGGATAGACCATTGATGATTGACTATTGTTGTTAAGTGAGTTTTTATTGAGTAATCTGATACGGATGACTTTTATTGAAAAGTTATTATACCTTTGAGATATTTTTGGTTATAATGTACATTGAGTTTGAGTTATGGGCTGTGATATTTTTTATACTATTGCATAGTGATTGTTCGGTCCGCTTAGAAGAAATATGTTACTCACTGAGCCGTGGTAGCTCACCCCTTATCTTACATACCTTTCAGGTTCTTTTGCTGGCCGCAAGTAGGGCGTGAGCGGGCGTTAGTCGGAGGATTTCTTTTTTATTGTGGGATTTTGGGTACGTTGTACATAGTGACGTTGAGCTATTCGAATAGCTTTTTGTTGGATTTGTATATATCCTTTTGATGGTTTTAGAAAGCTATGATGTTATTCGGGTTTTGTTTAAGTTGAGGCTGCGTCCTTTGGGTGAAAGGACGGCCGTGTTATGATCCCGTTTTGATTGTGTTCGGGGTGTGACAGTATATGCATATTTTTTTATATATCAATGGGGTGCTTATAGAATTGAATATCGATACATTACTCAAGTAAGTATATGTATCATTATGAGAGAACATAAATGATGACTGATAAACAGGCTTTTTACCCTTACAAATATTAATTGATGATTGCGGAAATCAAGGATCAAGAAATGGCACTCAAAATGTTGAAGAGATCATGCACTGTAATTTTTATCAAATCCCGAAGCACTTCCATTGTACAAAAGAGAAAGGTGACGGATGATTCTTGGTCACCTGGGCAAAACTTCTGAAAGGGTCACTTCATTAATAGTGGAAGATTTGTGAATCGGCCCGATAGCATCGAGTGTATTCACATATCTCCCAACTGAGAATGCAAGCTGCGATGGTTGGGCAAGTGGGATAGTATCCACCTCCCAACTTATGAACCACAAGCGACATGGTCGGTCGATCCGCTAGGTCTTCTTGAACGCACAATAGACCGATGTGTATGCATTTTAGCGCTTGAACTCCATCAGATGACTCTTTGATTGATGGATCGGTAAGTTCCAACCCTTGACCTTCGGACCACAACTTCCATGCCTGTCATTACACAAGGGAAATAAGCAAGGACAGCTGCACGAAATTCTTGGATTTCAAATTAAAAAGGAGTGTTGACTAGGAACATACAAAGGTGAGAAGGCTTTCACCGTGCTCTCGGAGATGAAAACCGTTATTCTTTCGCCCGCTTATTATCTCTAGCAAGAGAACTCCAAAACTGAAGATGTCTAATTTTACGGAAAAGACTCCTTCCATCGCATACTCAAGTGCCATGTATCCACTAACCAGAATAATGTGACGAAAAGCAATTATTTGGAAGTAAGAAACTAAGAAAAGTAATTTTCTATATGAAACTTTTGAAATATGAATGTGCTCATTTTGGTAATTGTTACATTTCGTCGGTCCGCCCATGATGTGTGTGTCCAAGGGACACCATTTGCTCTAATAAGAGGTGTGTCTGAGAGACACCTTTTGAAGAGGTGCGAGGAGAGTTTCTTAATGGAAGTTAAGATAACTTCTTCGAGAGAAGAACAACATACAAGAGAAATTCAGAACTCTCTATCTCGACACATTAGGATTCCGTATCTACTTTGAGAAGGCAATCGGCATTAACGCTGTGGAATAAGAATACTTTCCTTGTGATTGTATTCGGACCAACGTGTAGTAGATTCGTTCATCATTTGCTGGTGATTTAACGTACAATCCTAGAAATTTTGTTTTGGAGTGCATCGAACAGGTTAGTCGATTCTCCCGACATACGCTTCCAACATTGGTATCAAAGCCTCGGCTATGATCTCTGCCTTGTTTTCCCGTTGATTTTTTCCGCTTGCTGTTTGATATGGAGATCATGATGATGAACTTCATACTGTTTGCATGTTGATTGCTCGGGAATTGCAAAATGAATCGACAAACATGAATTGAAACGAAGAACGGGTTTGAACGTTACGGGTGACCGTTCTGTTCGGATGATTTTCGGAAACCTTTTTATGGAGAAAATAATTTTATATTATATAAAATTGAAGCAATCATCGAGACGAGCAGAACAGTGGGTCGAACGCCGCCGGAAACCACCGGACGTGCCACCACGCGCCCAAGGCGCTGGCACTACCAGCGCGTGGATGGCACGCGTGCGTCGGCCAAACGGCGCGTGCTGACATCATCGATGACGTCAGCAAAACTGTCGGTAACGATACGTTGACGTCATCTCGCCGGACGGCGACCGACCTCCGACAACGGGCGACCGACCCAATCGGTGACCCGACCTGTGGATCCGACCCGACCGGAGGCCCGACCCGACGACCCGACCCGTGACCGGTCAACGGTCGAGCCGGTTGGACCGGTCGGACCGGTCAACGGTCGAGCCGGTTGGACCGGTCGAACCGGTCAACGGTCAAACCGATTGGACCGGTCGGACCTGCTTCAGAAGCCCGAATTGGGCATGCGCATGAGCCACACGCGCCGCGCACTTAGGCGGCGCGTGTGGGCGCGTGGAAGCTCCGATCGGGCTGTGGTTGGTACCGTTGTGTTCGTATTGAAATTCTCTACATTGTGGTGTTGTTATTTTATATGTTTGAAGCTTTTAAATGTATGAAAATGCATACGGAACCCTAAATACTTGTATTTTTGGGGTATTATTGCATTTTACTTGTATTTCCCTATGGTTTTGAAAATACAGAAGCTGGCTTACATGTAAATGACCACATAAATATTATGTAGAGCATGATTCATTGATGGCATGTTTATATGGTTTGACGTGCTTGCAATTTCCTAATTTTTGAGCATATTAAAACAATGGCTGGAGATTCTTACGTCATGAATTCCGCTGTTGATTATATTTGTTGCATGAATGTTCTATTTGTTGATTTACATCATACCATGCTATATGATTGCTAGAAAGGATGTGATCATTGGTTTAGATATTTTTTGTGAATTATCTAGTCTAGTAAGAGTTCGTAAGTTGGTAGAATTAGAAGAAATTCTCACCTAGAACTTAAAATTTGCACAAAATTAAACAAGTTAATGATAGTAGAACAATCGTACGCTGAAGCTGATTGGGAACATTGTGAACTTTCGTTTTGGTGTCTTTTGTTGAATTATCATTAATTTAGTTTGTCTTTGCTGCAAATTAAAATATGTGTGTTTATGTAGAAAATGTGCTAGTATTGATTCTGCGTTTATTATGTCCATGTGTAGTAGACAGTGATTATGGCTTCGGCATCCAAGACCATTGTGGCTGACCTCAATAAGGGTGAGAAGCTGAATGGTGACAATTATGATATTTGGCACCGAAAAGTTCAATATATCCTTGAGGAACAAGAGGTTTTGGAAACCCTCAACCACACCATGGATGAACCTGAGCATGGAACTTCTGCTCAACACAAAAGAGATCAAGAAGCTTTTCAAGCTTGGAAAAAGAAAAATAGCATTGCTCGCATCACGTTGCTGAGCTGTATGCAAGATGATCTCATGTGTGAGTTTGAAAGTTATGACAAAGCTCAAGCAATGTGGGTTGCATTGAAAGATAAGTTTGGGGGTACATCTGCCACTAAGTTGAGGAGGCTCACCATCAAGTTTGACACGTACCGGAAGCGCCCAAATTTAACAATGAGGCAGCATCTTCGGGAGATGTCAAACATGGTACGTGAGTTGAAGTCAGCAGGTCATTCCCTAACTGATGAACAGCAAGTTCAGGCTGTTATAAGATCTCTTCCTGACAGCTAGGAACACATGAAAATTAATATGACGCACAATGAAAATATCGTCACTTTTGGTGATATTGCGCGTCATTTGGGATTAGAAGATGAGCGCCTAGAGGTTGCAAAATCCTCTACCCATGCTTATGTTGTTGAATCAGGTTCGCAGAAAGCTTCAGGCTTTAAGCGCAAGAGGAACCATAAATTCAACAACAAAGGGAAAGAGACTGATCCAGCACCCAAGAGAGCCAAGACCTTCCGACGCAAGAAGTGCGGCGGGAAGAAGGACAAGGCCAAGATGATGTGCTACAATTGTGGCAAACTAGGCCACTTCACTCGTGAATGCACTGAGCCGAAAAAGGTACCACATTATTCCATCACTTTGAGTAATGTTTTTGTTTCTAGCACTGTAATGCTTGCTGAATCTCATCCAATGTGGACTGTAGACTCAGGAGCAATAGACCACGTAGCTAGAGACCGAGGAGCATTTATGGAGTATCGTCGGATACATCCCGGAAGAAAATGGATATATGTTGGAAATAACTCAAGAGTTGAAGTGAAGGGTATCGGCACATGTAAATTAACATTTCGTGGTGGTCGAAACCTATTCCTACATGATGTCCTCTATGCTCCAGATATTCGGCGAAACTTGGTCTCTGTAGTTGTTCTTCTTAGCTTAGGTTATGTATTTAATTTTCATGGTGATTGTGTTGACATTTTGTTTGGAACAGTTTATTACGGTTCTGGTTATGTATTGAATGGTTTTATGGTGTTAGACATTGACTATGATGTGTACAAAGTTAACGTTGATGGTTGTTTTTCTTTAATTGCATCTTCTAGTAATGTGGAGATTGATGCAAGTACTTGGCATGCTAGACTGGGTCACATTGGGTTACATAGAATGAAACGATTAGCTAGAGAAGGTCTTTTGGGGTCACTCGCTAATGTTGAACTACCCGTATGTGAACATTGTCTAGCGGGAAAAATAACTAGAAAACCATTTGGAAAAGGAACCAGAGCTGAACTTCCATTGCAACTTATACATTCTGACATTTGTGGTACTTTAAATGTGAGGGCGAGGCATGGAGCCTCATATTTCATCATTTTTATAGATGACTTCACGCGTTTCGGTTATGTTTTTATGATCTCTCATAAGTCCGAAGCATTGGATTGCTTTAGGCGGTTTATAGCTTTGGTAGAGAATCAGTTGAACAACACAATAAAGGCATTGAGAACCGATCGCGAACGTGAGTATCTATCTGAGCAATTCAAGGGTCTTTGTGATGAAAAGGGAATTGTAAGACAATTGACTATTCCTGGTACTCCGCAACAAAATGAGGTTGCAGAGAGAAGGAATAGAACCCTATTGGAAATGGTTAGGTCTATGATGGCGCAGGCAAATCTACCTGTCTCATATTGGGGAGATGCGTTATTGACTCCTCGCTTATATACTTAACCTGTGTCCTCTAAGTCGGGCCACTTCCACCCCCTATGAATTGTGGACCGGTAGGAAACCAGACTTAAGTTATCTACGACCTTGGGGGTGTGCAGCATATGTTCACGATTCTTCTCATAAATATGGCAAATTAGG